CCAGGCATGAATATTGACCGGTCCCTTGGCCTGAAACCATATAAATTATATCATTTCACATCACTCAGCTTTCAGTTCTCTTTTGAGAGAACTTCATTTCATGTTCCATGTCTTTAAGCCTAACTTTAAAGCTTCTTGCCTTCACCTGCCATGAAATAGAACAAGAGAGCAGCAGTTTAGATTAATTCCTCATGAAGATTCACGTTGGTCGGTGATCCGGCGACTAGCATACTCTGGTAGCCACAGGATTCGCCAAATCTTTCCCGCTCGCAAAGACAGCCATAATTTGAAGTTGTATTTTACTAGTTCCGATCAAGCAAGTCCAACATATAAAATCTAACAATCAGAGAGGGACTGCCGGCCATGAGAATCGAAGTGTTTATTTAGTTGAAGGGAAAAAACAACTGCCCTTCATTCAGTATGTCAGAATAATTAAGAATAACTAACATCATCTTAATGATTGCAGTAAAATAAATGGTCTAAGCAACAAATTTTTTTAAAAAAATTGGTACAAATACCTGAAGTCTAACGAAGTCCGGTAGAAATTTTTGTACGAAAATGTTCCTAGTAACCGTGCTCGGATTAACCTTCTTAACTCCTAATCTACGATTTTTTTGGTACAAAAATAAGGGATATGTGGTCTTCCCTTTAAATTCGAAGAGGTATTTTTAACTTGAGGGCCATCATCAAATATCAATCTAGAATCCTAAACTACACAGTTGTAGACTGCTCGTGTGACCAGCTATAAAAATCTTTATCGTCAGTAAAAATAAGAAAATGCTAATTTCCCGAGGAATTAATTTAATGAAGTCAAAAAAATTAGCGTTACCCCGAAGTCGATATATATATTGGGCATGAAGATCACTTCATAAAAATACTTGAGACAGATCCACGCAAAAAAACCAAACAAATGAAACCGAAAAAAAATTTTGAAAACCTTTGAAAATCTTACTCTATTAGAGAAAACGTTTTATCATCACGCTTGAGATTTCATATGATTTCCTGAAAAAATCAGAACAATTATGTACGAGTATACTTTTTAACCTTGAAAAAAACTCTGCGCATTTGACATGATAGAGAGCCTCTTAGAAAAACAATTACTCCATATTTGCTAGGGCTACACGACGTATCACTTTCGAAAGAATATTACTTAAAATTTGCTTTGCTTGATATATTAATCGCTTTCGAAAAACATTAGTTACAATATGCTTGGCTTGATTATTTAACTATTCCGTTTGAGAGTTCAGCAACTGCTAACTGTTCATCATCTCTACTTTATGAATTGTTCTGTCCCTGCTGCGCTCTTTACAGGAATGTTTAACTTTGACAATAGCTGAGTACTTGAAATTTAGCTCGCACGCGTCTCTCGCAGATGGCTTCCTCTTTCTATACGGTAGCAGTTCACAGTTTCTAGCTTTGCTCTGTCCAGCACATTCCGTTACAGCGGGTTTACTTGATTCATGGCTATTTGGTTGTAGCAGACACAGGCCAATTTGCAAAATCAAACGTCACGTTGTCGCCAATCAGCATAAA